TTACTCATCCTTAGAGGGCGAGGAGATCCTGACACAGGTTATGACATGGCAGAGCCGTGAGGACACTATGTGCAGTGAAATAACTCAGTGGCAAAACAGATACACGCTGTATGATTTCACTTACACAAGATATTTGAGTAGCCAGACTCATGGGAGCGGAGTAGAAGGAGGCTACCCAGGGCTGGGAGACGCAGGGTAGAGAGTTGCTGTTTCATGGGTACGGAGTTTCAGTTTTGCAAGATGAAAACATCGTGGTTGCTCAACAGTGTGAGTATGCTAACCACTCCTGAGCTGAACATTTAAGAATGGTTAAGGATAATTAACTGTTATTTTATACGTATTTTACCAGAATTTTTTATTTTTTTAAATTAAAAAAAATTTTTTTAAAAAATATATCTTTATTGATTTCAGAGAGAGGGAGGGAGGGAGAGATAGAAACATCAATGATGAGAGCCATTGATCGGCTGCCTCCTGCACGCCCCCCACTGGGGATCGAGCCCGAAACCCAGGCATGTGCCTGACCAGAAATCGAACCCCGATCGCCTGGATCCTAGGTCCGATGCTCAACCGCTGAGCCACGCTCGGCCGGGCAACCAGAATTTTTTAAAAGTCAGTGAATAACTAAAAGTTGTGAAAGACTGAAACTGAAAAATACACTCAGAAATGGTCTGAGTAATATTGTTTAGAAGTCATCGAGAGTCTTAATTTGTAATGGGCATTACTAGTCCAGCAGTTTCGTAGCTGTACCATCCAAAGCTGAGTAAACAGCTCCAAAGATCTCCAAACAATAATGGTGAGTTCCCAATCGGGGTTCCCTCCTTCCTGGGAAAACTGGGAGCTGCCAAACTACCAAAAAAAACCTTCTGAGAGGAGGGTTGACGTGTTTAGGTTTATTCTTGGCATCAGTGAAAATCTAGTAGCTTAATTTCCTGCAGCTCTTGTGGAAAGCATAAATTCTATGATTTGCTTTTCTATTTTTGACAAGGGTATGCAATAAGGGGCTCCTGAGGCCTCAGTACCCACTGCACTTAAGAGGAAGTAAGAGTGGGAAAAGTGGCGAGGCCGCTGGGCCGAACTCCTTTTGTGTCGTTACCAACCCCTCTCCTGAAAACTGTGCTCCGTGGGGGTCGTCACA